TATAAATAATCTTGTGTTTGACCACTCAGTTTACTTTGAATAAAACTATAGTCATGTGGTAACCTTACCTTTTATTCGAAGAGTAATACAATTTTTTAATTTATTCAAATAATAATAAAATTTCAATTAAAAATGATTTAAATCAACATCAGAATTATTCCCACAAATAATGAGAGGTATACCACATTAGCTTTGTTGTTAATTTCTCCATTGTGACCATCACTGCTATGTTCACTAGCTTCACTATGTTCTGGTTTAGGTTCGGGTTCGGGTTCTGGTTTAGGATCAGGTGTTGGATCCACGGTACCAGCTGTATTAAATTCGTAAATGATAAGTTTATTTCCCTTATTTTGCGGTGCTTTGACCCAGAAAATGTTTCCACTATTCAAACTTCTGAAAGAGTCATCTCTATCGCCCCAACCAGTCACACCAGTGACTTCTTCAAATTGATCTTTTATAGTAGCCGAAGCGTCTATTGTCCCCAAATAAAAGTTTGTTTTATCTTCAGTGTATCCAACAAGGAATTTGTCTCCATATTTTGCAATACATCCATTGTTCTTGGTTTGAGCATTTTTCTTAATAAAAGTGACTTTGGTCCTCTTTTTGTCTTTTCCAATTGAAACTACACCAATGTCTTGAACACCATTGGGTGTATTCACTGGATTACCATCATATACAGCTTCGGGTGTTATAGAATTCATAATGAGTAACCACCCATCACCATTCTCAACAACACCACCTAACTCTCCACCACTATATCCCCCTTTATTTGCAATATGCGAATATAAAATATACGTTTTGGAGTTCTCAGCAAACATACCAAATGCTGGGAAAGCATCAGAATCACAAATATGAATCATTGTGTTCGTCTTCGAGTTCCACCCTTGTAAGCCAGATGTCATGTGTGAGCACCCCACCCCCATATCTTAGTCACTGTCCCATCATCTTTAATTGTAAACAAAGCATCACCCTCGTGTCCACTATCACTATGAACATGAGTGTAGAGATGGAATGTGCCATTACCATAATTCAAGCGACTATCTCCAACTCCAAAACCTTTGTCATCTTCAGCTACAATTGATGAAGGAATTGATTGGTTTCTTAAATCAAGATTTTTAGTGTATACTTCCTTTCCAACGGCATCAACTTTTCTGAAGTAAATAAGACTAGTCTTGGTATCCCAGAGGAAAACACCATAGGAGCCATCGTCTTTCACGGTAAGACCTCTGACACTATATCCTGTGAATTTGTCTGTTCGCAAAATAGTGTTGGTTTTGGCTTTCACTTTTATAACAGTACCAAGTCCATTGGTATCAGTATACCCAATGTAATAATTGTTTTTGGCATCAGAAGATGGATACAAACGAACAGAAAATGTACCTTGAGTGTATGTTCGGAAAGTATATTCTCCGCCTAGTAAATTGACAGGAAGAGTCACTTCATATGGAGTGATCTTCTCTTTGAGTAAAGCATAGGAAAGTGTAAAAAACATTATTTGGAGAAACATTGCTGTTATGGAATTAAAATGTTTGCAGGCTTTTTATTGGGTAATTAGTGTTCTTTTAATTATTATTATTAACCCCTTTGTTTATAAAAAAAACAGCAAATTAAAGTACAAAAACACACTTATATTTTAATGGTTATAATAAGCCATTAACAAAATTCAACCAATCACATTAATTTTTTAAAAATAAATTAATTCTTTGTTTTTTTTGGGCAAAAAATAGAAATTTAATATTCAGTTTTAACAGAAAAAACAATTCGTTTAAAGTTTGTAACTAACAATTATATTTTTGAACGCGTCTAGTTTTATTAGTTGGTTAACAGAACTATAAATAATTTGTTATGTTTAATTATATTAGAGTTATAAATTTAGTATAATCTAATTTATTAAATTAATTGACCACATGAAAAAAAACAATTAAACAAAAATAACTTTTATTTATTTTTACTATTTAAAAAATGAACTTGTATTTTTTTTTTCATTTATAACTTTTTTTAAAAAATATATAGTTAATTTTATTAAACATTTTTTTTGTGTTTTGTGAAAATCAAACAACAATCCAACTATATAAGTTAAATAAATTAAAAATTTAAATTAAATTGAATGTATTATATTTGTAAAACATGATATATAAATATAACTTTGACTTTTTATATACAAACATTTGTTTTTGTTTCAATTGAAAAATGCCTAGATTATTTAATATAGAATGGTTTTACATATTACCAGAGCCGGAATTGGCCATAACCAGAAGTAAGTGAATTGTTGCTTTTTTGCATTTTTTAATTAGTTAGATTTATTTCGTTTTTTTATATGGGAATTTAACAAAATTATTTTTTTTGCCTCAAATAAACAAAAAAATGTGAAATATTAAATTATATATTAAATTGTGTTAGATACTTATACTATAAACCACCAGATAATAACCTATCACTCAATGACGAAAAAAATATATTAAGAAGAAGATTTTTTGTCTATTTGTAGAATTAAAATTATGTAAATTTGTTTAGTTAATCAAGTTAAATATATATTGTTATTAAATGTATATTACTTATTAATTTAATTATTGTTTTTTGCGTTAATTGTCGTTTTTTAAACAGTATCACAATGAGCCATTATATTTAGTACACAATCATGCGTATTAATTTTTTTGCCTCGTTTTTGTTTTAAAAAACAGGGAGCTGGTGTTATCTTTTTCCCGAAAACATATTTTTTAAAAAAACATTCTATAAAACAAGACTGAAGCATTTTTGGAATTCGGCATTGACCGTGTAAATTTTGGTAAACTCTTGGTTGTCATTTAGTATATAATCAACCATTAATATAGTATTCGCTTAGTCGTGTTAAACCAATTAAAATCGTAACTTTAAATCAAAAAATGAATATACCGATTATGCTATTATATATAAGGGAATATTTTTAATATACAATTATAACTAATTTAATTTTTAAAATCTGTGTTAATATGACTCAAATTATTATGTATAGACATAATTATTAATAATATTACACAAACAATCCATTCAGTAAAAACTGTTTTGTTTATTTTATATCCAATAGACACAATTAATAAGTATTTGAATGGATTTAAATACTCTTATTATTATAATAAAAATATCTTAATATTATAAGGTTCTTATTTATTCGTTTTTGTTTTTCAATGTTTAAAAAACAGAATAAATTATAAAACGAACAGATTATATTTCTCATAGTTCATTTTGTGTTGAAAGTCTCCAATTTTTTTATGATTTTAAAAAACTTTGTGTAGTTTTTCTTATAATTATATATAATTATTTATAATTCAGCAACCCGATTTCTACACATCTTTAATTTTGTTTCTTTTTTCAACTAAATAAGTTTTTATAGTTATTTTAATGGTTCATAACATTATAAAAATTGAATTTTTAATTTTATAATTATAATAAAAATAATAAAAATTAAATGCTTTTTTAATTAAACCATTTTTTATTTAAAATAGTTAATTCAAACAAAAAATTAAAAATATTAATCAAGTACTTACACAGCTACTGTGTAATATTTTTATTATTCTTTCATGAAACAAGCACCACAACAGAATGCAAGCGCTGCCCATGTGGTAATACTTGCTGTGATTGTATAGAAGCCCATATAACCCGACCCCACAATATTCATTGCGCCAATGACTTTAATTTTGTATTCTGCTTCATCTATGAATTCCTTTTTACAGTCTTTGGTGCACTTCACAACATTCCCTTCTATTTCTTCAGTGCATTCACAGTCGGTTGTATCAAAACAGCACTTGTATTGTGCTTCAACGCATTTTCTCTTGTCTGCAGCAAGATCTTTCCAATCAATACCAAGTCCCTGCACTAAAATAACAATACCAAGAACAAAGAAAGCTATTGACCCACATGACGCCGGTAATGCAATGATCCAGTTCAACATACCAACTCCGGGTATGATCGAAAAGAGTGCTATACCAAAGCACACACATGTGAATATGATATTCAGCAATCCAAAGTAATACCCAGTGTTATAGGCCAAGTCGTATGGCTGAAGTGTATTATCAGGATCACATGCAGCAAAGTCCTTCATATCATTGCCAAATATATACGAAGGCACGGGGAAGGCTAACGTGAATATGCCACAGATAACTGCAGTTGCCACTGAAATAACACAAAGAACAGTCGCAGCGCAAAATCCACCAGCACACTTGTCACTCATTTATGTTTTAAATAATTTAATTCTTTTTATATTGTCTCCATATTTTTTGTTTTTATTCAATTGATTTGATAAAAAGTTAGATTAATGTTTTGTTTCAAGCAATGAGGGTTCCGTTTGTTGTGTTGTATTGAAAGACGAATTCTTGTTTGTTTGGATAAATTAAGCATAGTTATTAAATATTCAGAGTTTCAATTGCTGATTTTATTATCATACAAAGAGGAATCAAAAACTTTTTAAAATAAGCAAATGTTTTGTTGAATTAACAATTTTTACTTTGTTAAATTTTTATTAAAAATAAAGTTATTTTTTTGATTTTTTTTAATTTATTAGTTGTTTCCATTTAACTTTGTGAATAATATAAAAATGAAAGTAGTTATTTTTGAATGAGTGTAATAAACATTGAATTATAGTTTTATAGTTTTTAAAAAGCCAATTTTGTTTAAAAATAAATAAATGGTGTAAAAAATAATTCATTTAATTACAAATTTAACTGCCACCCTAAAATAATAAATACAATAAATGATAAATATTTAATTTGAAATAAATAGTAATTGAATTCATTCACACGATCTTGAATAATAATTTAACGACTTTATAGTAAAAAAGTCGAATATTTGTTTGGATATGTTGTTAATGTCATATGTTGTGTTAATATTAATAATATTTAAAACGATCATCTTTATTTTATATTAAAATGTATCTTCAATTAAATTTTAAAATAAAAACTTTTCGAATCATAAAAAGAAATTAAAATAATCAAAAAATAATCTGATCAAACAACCATTTAATAAATGTATTGTTTAAAATAATAACATTATAATATATTATTTAAAAAAGAAAAGTCGCGGTTTGAATAAAGTCAACCTCATTAATTATTTAATGTCGTTATTAAATGAAAATGTTTTTAATTTATAGTGAAAACAATATTTTATTAATATAACTATTCAAAAACCAAATAACCAATAACACAACAAATAATATAAAAAGGTTACAAAGATTTGATCAATCATTTTATTGTCTGAATAATAAAATAAAACATTTTAATAAAAAATTAAATAAAATCAGTTATAAAGTTCCCTTTTAATAAATTCATTCAAAGATTTAACAATATTTGATATATCTGTTCTATTTATTAGATCATCACACCACGCTTTATTAATCAGTTCAAAAATATCATCGTTTAATCCTTGAGGCTTTTTGTGTCGTTTTCCGTTAACAACGAAATCCACAATATCCCAAGCATACGGAAACGATTCTTTTAAAAATGCATTACCCCATATCATACACTCAAACATAGTCACAGCAAACGAGTACACATCTGCAGCTTTTTTGTACTTCTCTTTCTTTAATACTTCAGGAGCCATGTACTTTGGTGTTCCAATTCCCTTTGTGAATGTCATGTTAGTCATCATTAAATTAATATTTCTTGATGCTCCAAAATCAGTCAGTTTTGTGTTCACTTTGTCATTTAAGTCAATTGAAATAATCAAGAAGTTGTCTGGTTTGATATCTCTGTGTAATATCCCATTTGTGTGTAAATACTCAATACCTCTTGCTCCATCCAACATGAATTTGAGTCGTATTTTTATGTCAATTTCACTTGAAGTTTTGTGTTTCATCAAATCTTGTAGACTTCCAAATTGAGCAAATTCAGTGACCATACATATCTTATTTGGTACAAATACAGCGCCATAAAAGTGGACAATATATTCACTTTTGAATTTGTCCAACATTGAAACTTCCTTCTCAAATTCAACAAGTCCATCTTCCTTGTTTTCAATTTGTTTCATCTTTTTAATAGCAACTGTATTTCCTCTGTAACTTCCTTTGTATACTATCCCAAATGAACCTTCACCCAATTTTTGATGTTCGATTAATTCATCATAATCAATTCTTGTTGTCTGAACTGTAATGCCCATTAAAGTGACATTGTTGTACTTCTCTTCACTTGTTTTGAGCGATTTGGAGACTATACAAAGGGTTTCATGTATCTTACACGTACATCGTGGAGTCAAAAATATTTCAAATTCACAAGCATACCCACGCTTCAGTGTAATTATTTCGGGCTCTATTCTAACTGAAAATTTATCAATTTTAGAAAATAACGAAAATTGGATTTTGACAACATTTCTATTTGAGTTTGAAACACAGAAGAGTTCTCTTGTTTCCTTTTCAACTGGAATTTCTTCAAATTCGGAATTAAAGTTGATTATATTTGAAGACACACCAATTCCCCCTTGAAGAGAAATAAAATGAATATTCGACTTTTTTATCTCAAAAACAGCAGTCACTTTTTCGATATTTTTATGATGAATTATCAACATGATTTTCTTTGTTAATAACACTGTTAGTCCTATTAAAAGTGTTATTATAAAAATGATAAAAAGAAAGGATATTATAATAACCCACCAAACTGCTTTAGAGTGACAATAAGTGCCATCGACACTTGGCGAATTCCAGAATGAACATTTAGAACAATGTGAATGAGTAATTTCAAGACACTTCGATATATCAGAAAGACCAACACATATTTCAGTTGAAATTAAAACTTGAGATGAAGCACATGAAGTACATTTAAATGTCGACGAACATGTTTTACAGCTCAAATCACACTTGGAACATTCATTTTGATTGAGAGTAAAATACCCATCTAAACACTTTGAACAACCGTTTTTGGTCACTTCGACTTGACACCCATTAATACTACTTTGTGGAAGACAATCGCCACTCGTCGTTTTATAATTTGTTACATTGCAAGTCAAACACGTTGTATTTATGTTACATGTTGCACACTTTAAATCACAATCATAACACTTAAGTCCCACTCTATAATATCTGTCATTACAAACAACACACCCACCAGAATTTGTCAGTAATAAACATTTATTAATATATTCGGCTGTTGTTGAACACGTATTATTATTTAAATAATAGCCACTTTTACAACTTAAACATGTAGTCGACGTGTCCATACAAGTCAAACAAATTTCATCACATTTTACACAACTTTTTGTTGAACTTTCAAGATAATAATTGTCTTTACAACGCACACACCCATATTTATCTGATATGTAACAAAACTCATCGTCACTTGTTATTAAACACTTGTTGCTTGATAATACATATGGATAATGACATTCTTTGCACTTCCCGTTTGTTATAAATATGCAATTTGTTACCTCACTTGTACATTTTCCATTTGTATCATTTGGAGGATTGCATGTATTTTTTACACACGTCCCGTTGGAGTTTATTGTACTCACAGAATCGCATTTTGTTGCATGAGCACTTTCACAGAATAAACTATTACTAAAAACATTACTACAAGTTATACATGTCAACATTTTGTCGTTCTGAATATACCCCTGTTTGCATGAAGTGATGTGTAAAGCACTGTAATTCTGTTGATTTTCATCAACTGGTTTACATGTGCCATTGTTGTTGATATTTCTAGATTTGCATATCAGACATTGATTATAATTCCCAGATGCGTAAATCAAACAAAATTCAGTTGTAATACATATATTTTTATTATTATAATACCCATTTTGACATTTTAAACAACGATTTCCTAATATCAATGAACAGTTTTCGATTTCCAAACAGGAGTCTTTTTCTTGTCTATATCCCTCTTTACACTTGATACACGAATTTTTGTTGTAATTACACAAATCACAATTTGGTGTGGTACAATTATCACAAGAGTATGTCGT